AGGCCTCGTCGATCATGTCTTTTCTATTTGTCATACCTGTAGGCAACAGTCAATGAACAAAAAGGATTTAAATTTCAAAAGTTTTCGTAATTTCAAAACAGATTAAGAGATTGATTGGTTTCTTCACATTCATTTTTTTTTCAAAACAATACAAAAATACAAGACTTACCAATGACAAGGATATTGTTCAACTGCTCCACACCATCCATTTTCGAAAGGAGCTGGTTAACGACGGTGTCATGGACAGATGATGACCCAGCCTGTAGAATAAAATGTGCCCTGTCGTCGAAGATCCACAAACGTATTGATGTATTTGTACAATTTTTGCGTTGAGCTTCACTTGACGTGGTTTCAAGTACTTTGATTTCACCCGTATGTTCTCTAACTTGCCCCTACAGGGAATAAACAAACGAATTTTATGGCGCGGAGGTGCAGTAGAGAGAAGCTGTGAGCTTACCATACGCTGGTCAAATTCCGTGGTCATCAACTAAACCTCCTTTCCTCCGGGGGCAGTAAAGTGGTACCAGATTTGTCGAGAGAATAAAAACACTGACTTGCACCAACTGGTACCCGCAAGTCACTGTAGGCCGCATGTCATTCAGTGGGCCACTACGATTCTGTATAAAGGTAAGATGCGTGCGGAAAGAAGGGACTGGAACGGCGAATCCTTCAGACCTTTATAATCCGCACTCTGGGGGGGGGGGGGTGATAGCACAATGGCATGTGGGCAGTCCAGGCGTCAAAATTCTGATTAACCCTTGCCCGGGCCAACCAAACATTCCATCTCTCCAGGCCAGTGAATTGATACCACTTTCTTCTGTGGAGTCAATGAAAGCCAACTGTTCATCGACTGTCCATCGTTGATCGGGTAACTGCCTCGCCGGTAAGGTAGATGCCTCAGCGCATTTCGCTACAATCAACTCTGGTTGGAGGAAAATGTGGCGCATCCCGAGAAAAATTGGTCAGTGGCAAAGGATTTCTCTTTTTTTTCTGAAGGCTGCAATTATCGAGGGTCTTCGTTAGGGCCGCAAATCACTTTCGCAAAACCGTGAATAATGGTTGCACACTGATTGCTTGGAAGGCGTTCAGTACTCATTTTGCTGGCGAGATTCACACTCGAAGAGAAGGGTAGCTTCAACCCCGGGAAATATAGCAAATGCCCAGGTGCAAAATCAAAACCACGACTGATGGAAGAAAGTACTACTGTGAACCAAAGCTGTTGGGGCTTACAACGGGAAAGCTATCGAGGGAACTTTTCCGACTACTCGATTACGAGGCAGAAAAAAACATCACCACTGCTTACGCTTTAGAAGAGTTGTTGTTTTTTTTCCTTTGAATAATCCAGGTAAGGTATGACGTTCAAAGAACGTAAGTAGTTGAGAATTTATTGAAAATTATATGATCAGCAATTAGTAGTCCCTCACCATGGAACCTCTCTGCTTGCAGATGGCGTCGATTTCGTCAAAGATGATGATATGTAACCCCGAATTAGAGCCACATCTTCTCCACTCTTCTTCAGCATCAGCAAACAGCTTCCGGACGTTGGATTCTGATTCGCCAACGTACTGCAATAATAGCCTTCCTTCATGCGAGAAATGAAAGAAAACAATCAACAGCGAAACGAACGACACACCTTA